GTGCGTGTTATACGCCGGTGCGTGTTATACGCCGATAAATACGGTAATTACATAGACTCTGACATTATAATTAGCTCTCTTAAAATCAGTCTCTTCTCTAAGACCTGTACATGGTTATTTAATCCACAGTAAGACATTTGATTCTCAAATTCTAGATCAGGAGCATAGTGGAGAAACAAGGAGCTAGATCTGTCCAAATTTCAGACAGTTCTGGAATTAAATGTTTGCCTCTCTCAATATTTTAGAGGTTACTCGTATCTCAGGAAGCCTTAAAGTTACTAAAATAACTGTATTGGACAGTCTTTAACTCATATTAAATGAATTAATTATGACAATAAGTACAATTTCTTAGCAAAAGTATACTTTCCATTTGTGCTAAGATGTATGTTTTGTTTATTTTGATCAAATACTATGTAGAAATTTGTTCACATTAATTTTACTCCTGAAAAATTTCCTCATTGCAAGCAGATGAATCTTTTAAATCATCTGCATATATTTGAATTAGGTTCTCATTAAAAACTAAATAAGCTTTACCAACAAAAATAATTCAAAAGATACTATTTTCACCTAAATGCAAATCTCATGTTTCCTCCTAATAGAATGAAGGTTGCTCACTTTTAAGCAAAGTCCTAGTATTCAAATGAATCTAATATGTATACTATTCAAACATGAAAATATTAATTATTCTTCATCTTTGAAACATTCTTTAAAATGTTTAGTCCATTTTGTTTTCCTTAAGGATTATTATAAGCTTTTTTCATGCACCTTAATATTTCTCTTGCAGTACCAATAGTTTAAGAAATTATAAACTGAAATCATTCATGTAACACTTCTCATAATTCTTTAACTTTTTTTCCTGTCCTGCTTGAGTGACAACGAGTTTGAAAGTAGCAATGAATTTCGAGTTTGAGTTTCCTAGCATGTCAAGAATAAGTTCTTTCTTGTGAATATAGCAAACAAAAAACAAAAACAAACCAGTTGCTAAGCTTTTTTATACCAGTCCTGCTTGCTTATTCAATCATGTTAGACTCTGAGCTAATATGCACTTGAATTCATCAATTGTTGACTGCCACGTCAAATGATATCCTCATATACATAAATGTAACACTATTGTAGGCGGTATTATACTCTTCAAAAAGTCAACAGGAATACCACAAAGATTTCCTTGTTGGCTATGCCTACCAAGAGACCTTTGAGGAAGTCACTGGCAAGGCTTCTTATAAGTGCTGTTCAGAACTAGGAAGAAACCACATCCCACCACATGCTGCTAGTGTTCTTTTACACTATGGTAAACATGTGCAATGACCTCCAAACCCTTCCCTATTACTTCCAGAAATTTTCTTAAACTCTCTGCAATTTGTTTAAAGAAAAGGTATGTCCAAATTAGCTCTTTCTCATATTTATCTATAATCGTTTGGCTGTAGTGTAAATATGATCTGTTTATTTTAAAGATAAAAAGTATTAGAGATAAAAGTGCTTGATTTAAAAAGAGAGCCAGTTTGGTCTAATGGTTAAGGCACCAGGTTAGAAAATGAGAGACTGTGAGTTAAAGTCCTATCTTAGACATTAGCCAATCACACTTTCTCAGCCCAACTCACCTCACAGGATTATTGTGGTGATGAAAATAGGAGGAGGAAGGTGTGTTGGATATGATCACTGCTATTTGTGAAAATAATAAGGGTACAAATAAATAAAAGTATATCTCTATGTTAGAATCTTAGCTATCATTCTACAAAGTGTGATCATTCATTTGATTTATACTAATGAACTTTCTAATCAAGTTAAGAAAATGAAACCCTAGTTTTAGATAGAATAATTAGTTTAACTTGAGTAGCTGAATACTTTGTTTCAGAGCTGGAATTACTTAAATCTTATGTCTGAGTAAACCAGCTTCAAAAATGAAGTTCATGATCCTGGATCACTGGCTTAAATCATTGTCAGAACTGTGCCTTCATGGACATCCAGGGCTGACGCCGCTACAACACAGGATTGTTGTTGAAATTTCTGTTGCTGGGCAGTCCTTTTTGGACCTAAACTGTCCCGTAGAGACGGTGATAGAGAAGAGTACATTCCCTGATCTCAGGGGCATCACAAAGCCCCTGCTCGATCTAGGAGAAGCTTTTTTTTCAGCTTCAAGAAAAGCAGCCAAAGCTGCATAAGGTTGGGACAGCCCCCCTGCAACAGAAGCAGAGCAGGAGAGATAGTGTGTCGAAATTGGTGAGATAAATTTTATAATTAGAGAAGAGAACACACAAAAAGTATTTTAGTAATTTTAGTAAAACTAAAATTGAAGATAGAAGAGAGCAAGCGGCAGATTAGCTTGAATTAAAACTATTGTGTTGTCTTTTCCCCCCCTTAATTTTGTTTCATTTCTATGGATGGAAATTTTACAAATGCCTCTTACTTTTTAAATTGGATGGGGCCTTTTTCTCCTTCTTCTTCTATTTTCTTCCATTATTTGTATTTGTGGACTAAGAATCTCTTTCCTCTAAATGCTCGGCCGGATCGGAACTTTTAAACACTTTTTTTCACTCTTAAACTCGGAGCTTAAAGAGGGAGCTAAAAGTAGAGAAAAAAGAAGTAATACTGCCATCTAGAGGCTGGAGGCTTGGTTACATCTGTTAGCTCAAGGCCATTGGCTTTGCTTACTGAAAGGGCCAGAGAGAAAACACGTCTTGTTTATACAGGTGTTCTTTTGAAGTAAAGAAAAATTTGACTTGAAAAATTACACTGAATTTATTTGAAACCTAGCAAAAAGTCTTGGATGTCCTAGTGGCAGGGTTTACAATTTGGAAAGATAGTGTAACATGAAGAAGAAGAGGAATTAACATTGCAAAGAATCATGTTAGAAATTTTAAAAATCCTAATAAGCACAGAAAGAATAGAAAAGAATCTGGAGTTTATAGAATAAAGAACAGAAGGAATGGAGGGAAGAGGTGGGAATATTGATGAAACAATGATGAAACTTGAAGATAAGAGTTCAAAAAAATGCAGAAAAACATGAACAAAGTGATGAGAAAATTGTTGATGCTGACAGTAAATCGAGAGAGGAGGGAAATGAGACATGTGGAACACTAAAAGGAGAGGTAGATGAACTGGAACTCTATCTCATGTTTCAAAACATAGATGAAGAAAGGGGAAAAAACTTGACAGAAACAATGAGAGCATTTTTGGCAGAAGCACCAGTGATAACCAAAGCCCAGCTGATGAAAGGAACAGATGGAGGGTCTCGAGTCTCTACAAAATATACAATGAACAACAAGTTGCCAAGAGAAGTTCACATAAGACTTATCAAGAAAACATTTAGAATACAGATTCTACAAATGGCAAGAGATATTGGACTGCACTACTAGTGGAAGGATACAGGATGATGAAATGAAATGTTACAATAAAATTAAGCTAAACATAGTTAAATTTTGAGTATTATGTATAAGACAAAGTAATAATAGTTATAGTTAAACAAATGATTAATAATGATAATAATCCATTTATATATACTAGATTGACAATATGGAATTTTATATAAGCTGTAAGTGAAGACCATAGAGATGATGTGGAAAAGCTTTTTTTAAATAAAAGATAAACAATTCTATATAGAATAGAATATAAAGATGTAATATCATTGGCTGAGTCCAGAATGATGTAATGAAATGCCATAATATAAATTTAGTATGTAGTAATAGCTATTTTCAATGAATGTTTAATAATCATAATTATATACATATACATTAGATTGATGATATGAGCAATGGAATGTGATGAAATGTGTAAGCTGACATATTATATTAGAGAAATTATTATAATATAATAATATTGTATATAAATATACTTGATTGACAATATGTGACTTTATATAAAATTTAAGGGATGACTATGGAAAGGATGCACAAAAACCTTGTAACCAATCGACACACTGTATGGAATGGAAGATGTTTTTATGTTATGTGTTGTGTTTGTTTCTATTTGTTTAAAAAATAAAAACTTTAATTAAAAAAAAAAGAACTGTGCCTTCATGTTCAAATTTAGACAAACTACATTTACTTGAAAATAATAGACTAATGACTCTTATTTCTCTTATGGACAAATCCTGGGG